CGCTCACTGGTCTGGAGGTGGAAAGATCGAGAGGCTCACTGGTCTGGAGGTGGAAAGATCCGTCTCGGACCAGAGGAAAAGGAATTCCCTAAGGAGAGGCACTCACTGGGCTGGAGGTGGAAAGATCCGTCTCGGACCGAAGGAAAAAGAATTCCCTAAGGAGAGGCGCTCACTGGTCTGGAGGTGGAAAGATCCGTCTCGGGCCATGGGAAAAAGAATTCCCCAAGGAGAGGCGCTCACTGGTCTGGAGGTGGAAACACAAACAAGAAGACCTTTACCGAATACCCCAAAATCTCATTAGTGACATTTTAATGAGTATGTGAAGGGAAGCCCAAAACAAGACACCACCCAACCGGGCTCGTCATCAACCTATCGCTGTCTCTAAACTGGTGGTTTAGTGTCTCTAAACTGGTGGTTTGGTGTTGCCAAACTGGTGGTTTAGTGGTCCCAAACTGGTGGTTTAGTGGCCAACCAAAGCAGCTTGGCGCCCACCTTCTTCATTTGTTGGTGCAGTTGGTACACCTGCAGAGCCGCTCTGATGTTTGAGAGGCCAAGCAATGACCCTTCATTCCGCTCCACCGCATCGCAGGCGCCCTTGCTGTCTGTAGCCAGCAGACCGGGGATGGTAGCCACCATCACGTCAGCCACCTCCAAGATGTTCTTGGAATCGTTGAAGCCGCAGCAAGCGTGTCACATGAGGCGAACGCGATAGGCGTTCTCCTCGCCCTCCAGGATGGACTGGATTTCTCCGTCGTTGGACAAGATGGCAACTCGTCGCAACTTCCATGTGCGCCACATCACCAGCGACAGGGTGGAGGTCTTGCCCTCCCTGACGCTCTTGCCGCCCATCAACACCAACAGGCCTCCAGTAAACTTGCCCTTTGTTTGCGTGCGCCTGGTCGGCATGGCAGTGTCCTGCCAGTGCTCCGTGTCGTTGAAGTGATGAAACGTCAGTTTTGTGGATGTCGAGGTCCGCGCTTCCTTGATCAGGTCCTGCACTTCCTTGGCCACCTCCATCTTGGGCTTGCCGCTCAAGTCTGACAGAAGACGTGCCCCATTTGAACTTCTCGTCGATCTTCTTGCGGATCTCCAACCAACGTTCATTACGAAGATCTCCTCCCCGGTTGAAGTCATCCACGTGGCCACCCATGAAGCCAACGGTCGTGCAGCGGTCCCGCTCCTTCCGAGGGGACTTGTTCTCCTCAATCCAGACCCACAGACACAGGGTGGACTGCACTGCTGACGCCGTCTTGTGGCCTTCATCCAGCAGGTCCGCGTTGAAGCCCAAGAAGCACGATTCTTGCTTTCGCCTTCTTGCACGCGTCTGCGGTGATGGTAGTACTTGAGGGATCGCTCTTCACGGCCTTCTGGGCTTCGTCCTGCTCCTCCGGTGGAATGACCTTCCACGTGAGCACCCGCCGGCATCCAAGCACTCTGCCCGATTGCCGAGCTTTGTCCTTCTCCGCCTTGTTCAGGCACCGTCGCACCGCTTCCTGCGCCAGGAAACTCTTCACTTCCTTTGACTTGGCTCGATCGAGCAGCAGCTTGTTCTTCTGTTGTAGACCACCTCCGTTTCTCGCATCTTTTTCACCAGGAAATTGACTGGATTCGTGATGAAGTTCTTCTGTTCGCGATGCGATCCGAAGTTCAGGTCGAGCTCCATCCAGTAGCCCTCGTTGACTTCCTCCAAGGCGTCGAAGAGCTCCGCGTGCCGCGCCTCATCGTCCTTCACTGTCCGGCTCGTTCACCCGTCGATGCCCTTGAGGTTGTACTCTGCAGTAGTGGCCTTGCCGAAGACCCGTATCTCCATTTCAGCATCGTCGTCCACCAGAAGCAAGCTTGGCTGGCGGTTGTTCCCCTCTACCGCCTCCTCCATTCATGGCTGTTTCCATCTCAGCCGTCTCATCGGTGCTGGAGCCATAGTCGAGGCGTCCGCCTCTGTAGGGCTCCTCGTCCCTCCTGCTGCGGAATCAGGTCCGTCAAGCTTCCACGGCTTGCTCGACTGCTCGACCTCCGTGACAGGTCTCACCGAATGCACTGAGCACCGCATGATTGTGCGGCCAGCCTCCTCTCGTCACCTTCTTCCTGGTCCGCCAGGACCTCTTGAAAAAAGCACATGTCCTGGCCCGATCCGTCTGGGCTTTGCGGTCTTCTTGAAGCCCTCCCTTTGTGGTTTGTGCGTCATGTACCTCCTCCAGACTTTCACCCACTGCGTCGGCCAGAAATCTCTCAACGGCTGCCTGACCTTCAAGTTGTGCAGCTTGCTCAATGTGCGCAGCGCCTTCGCCCTTCTGGCGCAATCCTCTGCTTGCTGACGCTGTATCACCAACCTCACATGGTCTCGTTGTAGATCCGGTGGGTCTAGCCCTGAGGTCTTCCTTTAAAGCCCACTGGAAGGGGCTATATCCCTCCGTGCCGTTGAGTCCTGCTGCCGCCATTGCCAGACACACTTCTGGGTCCATGGCCGCAAATGAAGTCTGGATGAGAGTGGATCGCACTCAATGACACCATGCGCCCATCCTTCCTTCTCTGCCGGATGCTGCAGCGCAATGTTGAGGTCCGAGAGGTACTCCCAGCTTCGTGGATGTCAGCGTCTTGGACGAGTCGGGAGTCACAAACCGTGGCTTGGGCGTGTCCATCAGCCACCTCGCGGCAAAGCTCGCTCCGCCGATTCCGCTTGCTGTTGGTCCAGGTTGTGCATCCACCACCTTGTACTTCGTGGCCATGCCCATGAAGAGGATGAACTTGTATTTCTTCTGGCTGTTGGGTGGCAGCCATTCCGCGATGTCAATGCCAACCTGTGACCATGCCTGCGGAAGAGGCTTTGTCGAAGCCGGCGGGACCTGCCCTGGGCTACTTCCACCTGGTCGGAGTGCTTCACACTGCGGGCACTTGTAGTCCAACACCATGCGGATCTGTGCCCCACATCTCTCACCATCTGGGCCAGGTTGCGGTTTTCCGGATGTCCTGCCGCTGGGTGGAACTTCTTCACTTTGGCAAGCCAGACCTGCTTCTCCGCATCCGTTGGCACCAGCTCTGCTTCTAGCCTCTCTTCTCGCATGTCTTCGATGTCCTCATCGCCAGCTGCGTCTGGCTCTTCGTCTTCACCCTCGGCTGCGTGAAGCACGTGCCTCCTGATCCAGAGCTTTTTAAGCCAGGAATTTCTCCATGATCATGACCGCCGGTACATGTCTTGTTCCTGAACATCGCGTAGAAGCGCTCGTCCGTGGTCATGATGGTCCATTGCTGCCGCAGCAGTTGATTATTATCTCTCGCGCGTAGGTTGTACCGGCGCCCATCGGTGCGGCACCAGAAAATGCGGTAGCCATGGTACACCAAGACGCGCTGGATTTGCTCCATCTCCTGCACATTCCACCCGTCGCAGTGCGTAGGCCACTCGTGGTAGTAGTCCGGCCGGTGACCAGCGCCAAGTAGTTGTCCAAGCCAGTTGGCGAAGATCCGCATCATCTTCCTTTCTCTGCGGCGGAACTTCGACAGCACCTCCGGTTGATCTCTGTAGTTGAGCCTCGCCCACGTGCTCCACTTGGTACATGGCATCGACAGCCAAAATCTCCGCGGTTTCTTGATCACCGCCAGGTCCCCAGCACCTCGTAGGTCTCGGGCTTGTAGAGATCGATATCGTTCGCCAGGTTCACCCGCATGTGCTGCAGTCCTTCCCGATCCGCTGCGAAGGACAGATGCGGAAGCTGCCAGTGGAAGAGAACTGAAGGAGCTCCTCCCGGAGTATGTGGCCAGCCAGGCCCTGGAGATGCAGAAGGATGCTCAACGACATCTCGCAATGAGCGCGCAGGAGTTCTTGCGTGGAGATGAGGGAATTCTTCTGCGCTCCGGACAGTTGTTATAGTCAGCATCTCCGCATCCTCCTGCGCCTTTGTCGCACGCTCTCGCGTCACCTCCTTGAGCTTTACAAGCTCTCGTAATGTGCTTGAGAATCTCCTGCTCCAGTGTGGGTGTCTCTGGCTCCTCGAGCACACCCCATGAACCTGCTGCGCTTGAAGGGGGCTTCGGTGCCAAGGCTGCGCTTGACCGAAGGAGAAGGAAGGGAAGAAGATGCCACGACCCTGGACAGGAGAGATCCTCAAGCGTCAGGCCAGCAATGGCCATGCTATGGAGAGCACGAACCGATGCGCTATCGGAGCAACAAGTGGGAAGTGTGGCTGCATTGCAGCCAGCGAGCGTTGCGTCTGATCTACGTGCCGAAGAAAGGAGCCCCGTTGGGTCAAGAACCATCGGGACGTGCTGAAGGCGTTGGAGATGCTGGATGCAGACTTCTCGACCATGAAGGGCGTCATGCCGACGGAGGAGATGGTCAGGGTGGCGATCGACAAGCGCACCACCAATCAGCGCTCCGCGGACGTGCTAAAGAGATCTGCTTAATTCTCCAGCACCTCCAGGTCATCCGGCGACTTTACTTCGCTCAGGTGCCTGATGCCGATTCAGATAGTTGTTTTCCTGCTCAGACATCACTCCATGCAGTTCCAGAACTTCGATATCATGATCAAACGTCACGTTGCGTTCCTCAACAAGAATGATGTTCGCATGACCCTGCTGCACTGAGGTTCCCCCGTAAGGTACTCTACAAGTTCACCATGTAGTGTGCTGGAGGCGGTAGTGCTGAAGAGGGTCGATCATCGAAAACACACAACTTCCGCACCAGGGCCACAACCATGCCTGTACCGCTGTCCCCCGCAACAAGTACAGGTAGAAGAAGCGATCTGCCCTCGTCGCTATCCTGGAAAGCACATACACGGAACAGTTTCTGGGTTTTCCCGATGCAGTAGAGTGAAGATCAACATGATATTCTCCACGTCCCCGCTTGCCCCGAAGCGAAAATATGGACGGCGGCTCTCGTCAATGTTGATTGGGTCTTTTGCTTTTGCCAGTAGGGCTTGGATCAGCCCTTTCTGGGCCAGCACTTGCCGTGGCTCCGGTGTCCAGCATGCCTTGGCTGGGTTTACGCAGCGTTCACCCGTGCAGCATTAGCTTTTCGGCTGCGTGAAGGTTTCCATGAACACGAGCTCCGGCTTCCATCTCCAGTCCCTAGCAGTCTGCCACAAAAGGTACGTGTAAGCAGCGTCGTAGACGTTCGCCCAGTTTGCGCCTTTCGACTTGTGTCCTTCTGGAAGGCCAAGTCGCAGTGCCAGTCCAAGTCCATGAAGTGCGCGTGCTTCTTGCCTCCAAATGACTTGCCGCCGTATCCTTTCCCCTTTCTCACACCAGGATGCTGCCTGTGTGGGCACTCAGATTAAACAACCTGACATTCCCACGCTCTTGTCTCATGGCCGCCGTGGCCTGCTGTGCCTCGGACCACGTCCTTTCTGCCTCCATGGCCATGAGCTCGCGTCCTTCTCCGCCTGTGTAGTTCCTGTATGCGAGGATCCTCTGTGTCATCTCCTGGTCCACCTCCATCCATAGGCTCCCATGTGTTCGCTCGCGCCCTCGTCCTGCCAGCCAACGTAGTACTGCCATCCGTTGTTCATCGCCCCATTCATCACCTCAATCGCCATAGCCCGTTTCGTCCGCGTACGAGACAAAGGAATTTGCTTCGGCGGCATGAAGATGATGCGCCTGGGTCGACGTCGGAAACCTGGTGGCCGTCAGCTGCTCATCCCACATTGTCTGCAAGGCATCGCTGATGCTCTCGTAGTCCAACCTGCCATTGGTGGTGCTCAGGATGTCCCTCCATTCCTCCGGGCTCAGGCATGCCGCTACCAGCAACCTCCATCCTTGAAGGACATTATGATGAAGGAGTCCATCACGTTGAGCTCCTTTCCTCAACCGCATCTGCTGTGCCCGGTGCAGCTCCAGCAGGTTCTTGTCGTCCAGGTTGAGGGGCAGCCTGCTGCAAAAACGGCTTGTGCCGAAGCCGCATCTGCTGCTCATTCGTCTTGAAGATCATCTGCTCCTCTTGTGACCTCCGGACGCATCCAAGGTCTCATCCACATGCTGCCACCACCGCGCTGCCTCCACCGATCCCGCTGACCAGGAGTTCACAGTCCTGAAGATCTTCATCACGATCAGGATCACCAGGGGCGGGTCCTCTTGCTCGGCTCCACCCCGCTCCGCTCCTGCTTCAACCTGATGTCCTGAAACACCTCAAAGCCAAGAGTTTCCCACACAAGGAAATCCGACACCTTCTCGTTGGTGTCTTGAAGGCGAAGTACTGACTCATGATCGCCGCCGCATTCGGCGTACTGCGGCGAACCAGAGGGCTCATTGCAAGCTTCCGGAGGTACTTCGCGACTCCATCCTCGGTGTCAAACTCCGATTGCGACCAGCTCAGCGGTTCCCGTCAGCTTCGAGAGGAGTCTCGTCGCAAGGTACCTCCTCATGTTCTGCTTGTTGCCTCTGACGTACCATGAGATCTCCTTGCAGTAGCGGCGCCATCCTTTTGGTGCACCATCCCGACAGACTGTCTCCTTGCCATCCATGGTGTCCCTGATCGGGCTGAAGGGCTCGCGATCGTGTTGAAGAGAGATTCACCACCTGGAGCGTCTCCTGCTCCGCTACCCATGCAATCGCCCTGCTCAAAGGCGCACACGTCGTTTTCCAGCTGATGGAAAAGGCTCCATGGGTGCTAGCCGCGTTTGGCTGGGTAAGAGGGCGCCGTGCAAAATGCCGTGCAAAATGCATGGATGAAAAGTCAATGGGTGTGATGTCAATTGCAGCTTCCCTTTCGGCAAGTTTGAAAACTGCGGGCTACTTGGGTATATGATGCGCTTGTGATCCTGGGTCTGCTGGTAAATACCGGTACAAAACTGTTTGAGCAGTTCAAACATCGGGCAAATTCTTGGCGTAAAAAAACACCTTCCCAATAGACCCCCCCGTGACCCCCCAAACCTGTGCCCATCGAGCATCCACGGGGAAGATGGAGTGCTCGTAGCGACGACTTACGCCATCCTGGCACGCCGCGCCCCGCGCTAGGTGGGAAGACACGAAGACACGAAAACCAGAAGCCCGAGCTACACATGTTTTAGCAAAGGCCCCCAACCCAAGAGCAACATATTTCCCTAGGGTCCCAAGGCCCTATGAATTTGAGGTCTTTGGGTTCGCGGGGGTCCTACAGTTTCATAATTTGCAACCCTCAAAATGCAAAACACATCGATTCAACTGAGCTACTCGAACTGCAAACTGGCCCCCAAAAGACGTGTGTTCACACCTCCTCCCCATGCCTCCAACTCACCCCTGCCAACTTTGGGAAACGCAAGCCGGGTATGTCTTTTGTAAGGGTAATTCTTTTTGGGGCATTGAAAAGAGAAACCAGGAAGAAAACCACTAACAAAAACACACCCGCATGCAAATTTATGGGACTCCGTTATGCGGGTCTGCGTTAAGCCAGCTCGTTGCATCTGGCAGGAACACTGAATTTGCAAGTCGCTTCGCAGTCTTGCACACTCATCTGCTACACCAGACAACGCTCGAATACAGCAATCAAATGTAAGACACACCCGCAAGCCAGGCGCCAAAGTAATATTGCGGGCTCACCTCTTCGAACATAGGTCGCTTGAGGTTTGCCAGTCCGTTTGGAGGCCCCCCAAACCCTAAACTGGTCACTGATGAATTGTCCGAAAGGACCCAGCCTGTTAAAACCAGCAATTCAAAAGTTGTGGGCAAAACCCATCAGGCCGTTCAGGCAAAGAAACAACAGGTGCTATCCCCAACAGCGCAGCGCCCGCCCTCAAACCTTCCTTGGAACTGTTGAACCTCGACCATCCCGAAGCCTATCTGGGCTAAGACCTCCATCGCTTTTCAAAAATCCTATATCATTTAATATCGAGAAAACTCCCAAAAGTGTAGGGAAACTTTGGATGCATCCACGGGCAAAGGATGAAAGTAAGCCAAGCACCGCTGGCAAAGCCCAGCCCAGCTTGTGGTTGAAATTCCGCGAACTTTCCCAATGGGGCTTTCTTTCACCCCCCCGGTAAGGAAACCAAAGGCCCCCCAATCAGCTCAACGCCCTGGAAGCACCCAACAAGCAGAGACCCGACTTTGAAAGATCGAAGCACAAATTCCGCAAGCTTTTGCCTACGTCAGCGTGACGGCGGTTGTATCCAATGACGAGTTGTGGGGGTGGGGCCCGGCTCCTGCACCACCAGGCAATGCGTAGTGCCTTGCGCGCTTGCGCATGGGTTATGCGCTTTGGCACGGGGTCGTCTCAAAGGGAAGATGTCGTTCTTTGATCATACCGTTTTTGGGTTTGTTCAAAGACAAGGTTTCGAGACAAAATGACACTCAAAGTAGCAAGGGTTTAAGGGAAGGAGAAACAACACGCTTGTCTCAGAATTACAGTACCCCCCTGCTTTCCCTCTCAGATAATGCCAGCAGTTTCCGGTTTTCCTTTGAATAAAAGATGCCTCGCATCTGGCTTTGGGGACAACGTGACAAGAACGCTGCGAATTGACCGGCTGGTTGCACGGCTTGTGACGCATGACGCATTTTGAATCACGTCGCAAACTGGGAATCCAAAGCATGACGCCTGGCGCCACCCGTGTACTGGCTCCGCAGCCCATGGCCTCAATTCGAGACTTCGGCTTCCCCGAAGTCTAGGCGCAGCTTCGGATTCCTGTTGGTCTCCCTGCAAACCAACAAGAAAATCGTCTTATCTTGAACACTGCATTGATCATCCTGCAGTTCGTTCGTGAGGAGATCCTTGGATCCGGTGATAGGATGTAATTCGCGTTCTTTCTTACTTAGTTCTTTGCTGAGAGGTGTTTGATTGGCGTGGTAAGGTGCCCTCCGAAAAAAGCTATTTGAGGGGGTGTAGCTCATTCTTCCCCTGTGAGCTACATGGGGTCAATAGGCCCAGGTCCACTTCCAGGTAGTTGCCGGGTTGGGAATAATACTTGGTTTTGGGGGGGGAAACACTTCCGCAGCTTTGGTTTGTTGGAACTCAAATGGTCCAGAAAAGCTGGAAGTCGATCAAGTTTCCCTGGAGAACCCCGGCAAGACTCAAATACAACGCAATTGGCACAACTGGGATCCGCCGACACTCGGTGCCCTTCTTCGTGGATTGGCAAGCCCAAAGAAAACCGTTACGCCGTTTGGACGGTCTCCTTGACACACTGAACCAAGGGCATGGTCACAAAGCCCAGTTTATCCGAGCTCCGAAAAATATTCTCCTCTCGCAAAACCGGGAATTCACTCTAAATTAAACTACTCGTTCAACTGCGCCTTTCAATGAAGCAACCATGTGCCACCAAAACCTCGTTGGAACACCCACCATCCGGACACCTCGGAGGCCACCAAAAAGCGAACCCAAACATGCCAGGTGCATGTTACCCTGGCAACCTGGCTTTGGCCAGCTCTCAAAAAGAAACATACAGGAAGCTCTGGCCAACCGCGCGAACAGCGAGATCTCCGGGGCCCCACACCAAAGGCTGCACGAAACAAAGGAAACCTCTTGCGAGTTCTCAAGCGGCCGGGTACGTCCAGCACGACTTGAGCCAAGCACTCGGCGCTTGAACTGAGACCTCTGCAAACTCAACCCCCTCCCGTTTCCTTGCTTCACGGGAATCAAAGAAATCCCAAAACAAAGCCTGGGTGTGGCATCAGCCCTCAAGCCCTTTGCTTCTGAATGGCCCAACGGGACCGGATCGGCTGCTCGGCATTTCTAACATAAACGTACCCTATGGGCTCTCAAAAGAGGACAAAGAACATCATGGAAGTGCACAACCACCTTTTGACCATCTTCCTCTTGAAGCTACTCGGCTGCCTCTACCCCCGGAAAACTTCGCGGACAAAAAGCCCAGCATCCTGTTAAAATCCTCAGCCCAAAGCGCCGCGCTGTGTGATTTCGCCCATTGCTGGCAATCAAGTGCAACTCCGAACAACAAACTTGCGTCTCAAAAAAAAAGCCTCCCTCCAGAGAGGTTTTCATGTTTGATGGCTCAACTAAACCAACCTCAAAAGAGTGCGGCATCCAATTCAAGAATCGAACAGACACTTTGCAAGGCCGGGCACTACCGCTGAGTCACAATCAGTCGAGCGTCGAGCTCCCGAAATGAACATTCGCAAAAACATGTGACAAAGGAACTGTCTCCTTCTCAGATTTTGTTTGGCTTATTTGAGTGCCCGACGCTCATTTACTTGTACTTTTACATTCCTATGGTGTATGACTCAACACGAAAGCACAGCTCTCTCGCACTTCTTTTATAGCGGGTGCAATCCTTTGTGATAGTAAACCTCGAACTCCGAGGATTTGCCTTGGTATGCTCCAGTGAGCTAAGGTAGGGCACTGAGTGGGCCCCACTCAGGCCCCCTGTCAGCTGACAGGGTAAACACCCCCCTCCGATCAGCCGCCCGATGCCTCCCGGCATACTGGCTGGCAGGAGGAAAAGATATAGGGGGGGGGAGCCTGGACAACCATCGCACACCTCCCGGTGTGGGTTGCACCGGGAGCCCTACCTCCGCGTCCCCTCTCTGACGCAAACCCAGCCCCAGCGGGGCCTCCAAGACAGGGGGTCTACTGGACGGCAGGCCACCTGTCAAGGGTGGGTTCCTTGTATAACATTCCTATGGTGTATGACTCAACACGAACGCACAGCTCTCTCGCACTTCTTTTATAGCGGGTGCAATCCTTTGTGATAGTAAACCTCGAACTCCGAGGATTTGCCTTGGTATGCTCCAGTGAGCTAAGGTAGGGCACTGAGTGGGCCCCACTCAGGCCCCCTGTCAGCTTCCCCACTGCCATCCCGGCGTGTACAGCTGACAGGGTAAACACCCCAATGCACTCCACTACCTATCCCAAGGCACTCGAAGGAAATGCACAACCGAGATCAACGCTGGCAACGGGAGATGCCAAATGATCAGCGGCAGAGCGGTCGATTGTGTCGAGAAACCTCTGGAACGGTGCCAAGGATCACGGGCACCTTCCCGGCTGATCGCATCAGCCCAGTTTGACTTCGATGGAATGTATTCCCAGTAGATCCAAGTTTGCAAGGAGAACAAAAATCACGTGTATCAAATGCGCCATGTGCTCCAGGTCCGGCTGTGCCGACCGTCCACGCACCAAGCACATCAACGCGGCAGTGTTATCGATGAACCACACCCCCCTGCGATGTCGGAACTTGCCAGGCCGAGCCATCAAGGCGAACAGGACCATGGAAAGCTCCAACTGGGCAATCTTGCGATCGCCAGGTGTCCACACCTGGTACAAGGAATCTGGGCGACGAAACCCTCACGCAATTCTGCCTGAGCATCACACCAGACAATCAGGAACCCTCCTGTTCCCTCGCCAGGCACTTCCAGTGCTGCATCTGACGCTGCGAAAAAGCGGGGGCATGCACGGTGCATCACTTCAAACACTCGGCGTGGCTGCACCTGAAACACGGCTTCGAGCAGCTCGAAACTACGGCAAATCTCAGCGGTCAGGGTCGAGTGCCTCTCGTCCTGCCGCATCCGGATCGGGTGCAGGCCACCTGCCCCCACCTTACCGAACATGCCGAGTTCCAAGAAATTGGCCAGGCCGTACACCTTGGCGGCTGCCCCCGGGGTGAGGCGCTGCGTGGAACGAGACGCCGCCAGCATCCCTTGCAGCTTGCCGTGCAACTTCGCCTTGGCCCAGAACTTCACGTGGCCATGTTCAGTTGCTCAAAGGCCCACTGTCCAGACCCCTTCGCTGAACGCCAGTCTGTCAAGCTCGCGTCGTCAAAATACATTGACACCAGCACAAAAACCAGCCTGCGTCCAAGGGGCTCCACCAACCTGGAATACCGGTTGAAACTGGTGACCGCCAGGATGGTGCCAGAAGACCACCACGCAGCCTAAGCACTCCTGTGGCGACATCGGCGAATGCCGATAGGCATCAGGCCAGTCCTCTCCCCCAGACTCCCAGGAATCAGCCGCCGCTCGGAGGCTGTCCGGGGTCATCTGTGCCACCACTGCTCGGATGTGCTGCGCAGGGCGCAGGGGCGTGCACAAAACCAATTTGTTAGCATCAGCTGACAAGTCCCCCCTGATCGGCGTTGTCGATCATACGTTGCTTGCCAGAGCTCTGTGTGATAACACACCTGGGTATTGAACGGAAGGGAGCTCCCTTCACCGCCTGAAGAAGCTCTTGCCGCCGCATCGGGTAGGTGCAGAAACCTCGTTCCGCATCCAGGGTGGGCTGAGATAGGAGAAAGACATCGTCTGTGCCTGACCGCAGGGTGGCCAAGATCCGCTGGTTGTTGGCCTCTGCCCCCATCACCACCTCCTCGAACGGGATGCGCCGTGCCTCCTGCTCAGGGAAGATGCCATAGGGGGGCGCATATCCAACTGCCGGGAGCCCGCACACCAACCCGTACGGATAGGACACATCCGGCCACGAGCTCAGGATGATCAAAAGAGCCGTGAAACCCACGTCCCGCTGGGCCGTCACTCGGCCGATTGCTGCCGGCTGCCGCTCCCGCAGCGCAGCCGTGACGCCTTGCCAGCGCTGCTTCAGCTCCCGCAAGGCTCCTACTGCTTGCCGCCGAAGGTCGATCATCTGACCTCGCCAGCGGGCACAACATGCCGCTGCAAAGCGGAGGTCCGCGTCCAGCATGGGCTCCTCCTCCAAAGGCGTCCGATCCTGCCGCCTGTACCAGGCGTGATCGAAGTGCTCATCCGGGGTAGGCTCACCCGCCTGAAGTGCGGGAGCGCGGCCTTGTGGCTCAGGGCTCCAGCTTGCCGGCCCGTTGCGGTGATCTGTCGAAAACGTGCTGTGCGAGTGGCCAGCACCGGCCCCATTGGACCATCAACATCAAGCTCCTGGTCCTCGCACCATTCGGTAAAAGCAGAGAAGGGGAACGAATTGACGAGGTCCTCAATCATCGGAAAAGTGGTGTGCTGCAACCACTCATGGGGAAATAGTCGTCGGAAACGAGTCACAAGCGACTCCTGTAAATGCTTCTGCAAATTGCGTGGAAGCGCCTGGGCGCCTGGGATCCCCCCCCAGGCTGCCAAAGCGGCTCTCCTGGGACGCCTACGGCTCACAGAGCCAGAACCGCGCCCCGGCTCACCGCTCTGCAACCGCCGCTCGAAGAGGAGGCCGATCAAGACGTCCGCCTTGCTTGGTACCTCCATGGCACAGTCGCACACCAACGTCATCCCCTCCAGCTCCTCCAACTGGTCGAAGAGGCCGGACTGGTGGATGTTGCGGCAATTAGTCGTCTCCTTCGCAGTGGATACCTGGGATCTCGTTGGCCGCCCATTTGGAACATGCAAGACGGTGGCTATGGTGACCCATACCCACGTAGATGTGTGCGTCCGGCAAAAACTTCCTTTCGCCCAGCACTGCCTAGGCCTGCGCCCGCACAGGTAACCCCTGCGCCTGGGCACCCGCAAGCGAAGCCCCAGGGTGCGACCCACACACTCGACCGTGGGCATCCGGGGGACTCGCAGCACTGCTCTGCCCGCTCGCACCGCCCACCATGAAGCGGCGACCGCCAGAGCAAAGCGCAACGGGGCCGTATACTCAGCCTCCTCCTTGCTCGGGTAGAAGCGGCCGGTAGCGCGCTCCACAGGCTCCCACTCCTTGGGATCGTGAGAA